GAACTAAAGCAGTTAAAGAAGAAAAAGATGTGATTTATTCTTGGTTTGGAGACTTTTGTTATTGCTACTTCTCTTACCCAGAAAGTTCATCTTTCTCCCTAAAGCAGTGACTTTCAAACTTTTTAAAGAAAAACACAAAATAAGAAATAGACTTTATAAACATGACCTAGTATATGTATGTATATTATATAAATTGTGTGCATATACACACTGAATGGCCAGATTATGATAATCTCTGAAGGCATAATCTGGCCACTCAGTGTGTGTGTGTGTGTGTGGGGGGGGGGGTATGTGTATATTAGAGGCCTGGTGCATGAATTCATGCATGGGTGGAGTCCAGCCAGCCTGGCCAGGGTGAGGGGACATGGGCGGTTGACCAGGCTGCCTGCTGGTTGTACTCCTGGTTAAGGGGACAATTTGCATATTAGCCTTCTATTATATAGGATATATACTGAGTGGCCAGATTATTATGCATTCAGAGATCATAATAATCTGGCCACTCAGTGTGTGTGTGTGTGTGTGTGTGTGTGTGTGTGTGTATAGACATAACTTGTGGGAAGCTACTGCATGCCAAACTGTCAAACTGTCATAAGTGTGCACCAAGGAATGCAGAAGGTGGATGGACTTTGAGCATCAGCAGGGCTGATGCTAGGCACCAATTGCTCATGTTGAGCTAGAGGTGGCTCAAAGCAATCTCCTGACTTGAAAGCCTCCAAGTAAATGTTTACTGGACATTTGAGATTGTCTGATCTCCTACGAGTTTGCCGTGCTTTACTGAGGAGAAGGTGTGTATCTAAAACTGAATAAAAAGCAGACTAGGCCAGGACTCAGTGTGTCTCTTCATAAAAAGAGGTTCCCCCTAATGCCTTCTAAATATTTCTTGTTTAGCATTTTCATTTGTGCGTCGGCCCCTCCTTCAGGTCCTGAGCCTCGCCACAAAGGTTGCGGCAATAATTTTAAACTCCATAAAGCAATGCTTAACCTTACCAAGTGCCATGCACTAATATTTTCATATTATACTATTTCATTTTTTAAAAGCGTAGTTTTGGCTAAATAGACTTCCTTCCTTACAAATAGGAACTCCACAATGTGTCCCACACACAATCCCCTTGAAAAACACTGCCCTAGCCCAATCATTCTTAAATAAAAGGCCCTAAATCCAACCAATAAGCCTTCATTGGCCAGTCCATTCTGAGCTGTTTTGAAAAATCCTACAATTTATTAGTAATATTATATTTTCTGTACTCCCCGTGCTTAACTTGATATGGTAACCTCCTCCAGGTCAAGGTTCTGTCCTGTATTTCACTTGCTGAATTCATACTGCACAATAGATTGCTCCATATCTAGTCCTTGTATTCCCAACTCTCAGTTGTGATCATACACTTTTTTAGGTTTGGCTTGTCTTTGGATTAGGGGGCGAGGGTGGGGGGAATGTCTATTCGTATGTGGCATGTGCTTACTTTCAAACTGGAAAAGCGCACAAAAGCAGTCCCACCTCTTCAGGCATGTGCAGTTTGTGAACAAACCAAGTCCTCCAACCACACATACGTGTCCTGACACAGCCATGCACGAGTCCTATTATAGAACCAAGTTCTCGGGACTGAGGTCTTTTGGGGTCGGTGTCTGGGACACGCGGTCGGTGGGATCGGCATTTCCACAACTCACAGCAACTACTTCACCTTGGGGAAGTGTTTCCAGAACCGCAGTCCCCACTCCGCGGCCCCGGCCGGCCTGAGAGGAGCACGGGGAGCCAGGCAGGCGGCTGTGAGGCCGGCCTCGGACCCCGGGCACCCCGGGGCCCGCCCCGCAGGCAGCAGGCCCACCCCCTCCGGGACCAGAGCGGCGGGGGCGGGACTTCCGTGAGCCCTCCGCGCCTCCTCCCGCCGTTACCTCCGCCGCTGGCTGCGCCGCCCACGCCGGGACCTAGCAACGGCCTTAGCAACGGCCGGCTCCGCCCTCCGGTGTCGCCCGGAAAGCGCTCCGCCACGTTCACGCGCGAGCAGGGCGGGCGCTCCCACGGCTCCGGGCGGCGGAGGACGCGCGGACCGGAGCGAGGAGCGCGGGCTGCAGGTGTGAGTCCCACCCCGGCTTCCCTCCCGGGCGGTCCGCGCGCCCTCCGGGGCCGGGGCGCTGGCCGCGCGCGGCGCGGGGCGCGGACGCCGCTGGCCCAGCCCGCACCGAGGTCCCCCGCGGTCCCTGCGCGGCGCTAGCATTTTTTGGTTGTTGCGGGCCCCTTGGGAAAAAGGCTTCAGATTTTTCTCAAAAAAACAAAACAAATCCCCTCCCTTCTCAACCCCCCCCCCCCAACAATTATTGTTGGTGCTTTCCGCCTCAAAGAAAGTCTGTCCTGGCAAAGTTTGTATTTTTAGTGTTTGCAGTAGTTTGCGGCAGGAGAAACTTAGCACAGACATAGTATGTCATGCATTATAGTATTTAAAGTATTAAGATAATCTATAATAATAATCTATACTAATAAAAGTGAAATATGATGGGCCATCAGGCAGGCAGAGGGGTTAGGGGTGATCAGGCAGGCAGGTGAGCAGTTGTGGCAATCAGACGGGCGAGTGGTTATGGGCGATGAGGCAGGCAAGCAGAATGGTTAGGGGCAATCAAGCATGCATGCTGGGCAGGCAAGCAGTTAGGAGCCAGCAGTCCTGGATTGTGAGAGGGTGCAGGCAGGGCTGAAAGACTACCTCCCCCCCCCCCCCACACACACACACAAATTTCGTGCACTGGGCCTCTAGTGCTTACATATAATAATAAGCAAAGGAGCCTGTTACTTATGTCGAATTATTTAGAGGAAATGCAGGACAAGTAAGGAAGTATATTATCCTTTAAGGTGTCAAGGCCGTGGAATTAGCGGATAAAAGCGCCCATGGTGTACAACTAAGGAAGTACTGATGCCTACCGCTGTGGATGGTCTGGGAGTGGGCATGGGTCCTATATGAAAAGGTGATTCCATGGAATTTAAAAAGTGGGTGTGAGATCTGTATGTTATGTGACCAAGGTTCTTAAAAATATTCCTGGAAATATTTGAAGGGGGCTTAATAATATATATTGTGTGTGTGTATATATATATATATATATATATATATATATATATATATATATAATACAGGACAGTTCTGTGATGTTTCATTAGGAGGTACGTCAACTTGGTTGTAGTTAGGAGCCTTTCCATTAGTACTGTTTTGCAAAAAGAGGTCTGTCAGGCTGCATTTGGCCCATAAAATTAGTTTTTCAGCAACTTCAGTAGCAAGATGCATACAGTAAGCTTTTCCCTTTTTTTTTTTTAGAATGGTTTTGATTTAGTTAAGTATTTGTTGACTTCTTCCTGCTGCATCAGACACAGGGATAGGTGAGTGGAGTAAAGAGCTCTGCTCTTGCAGAGTTGACTACCTGCTAGGACACGTAACTTCCCTCAAAGGTGCTCCAAGTTAAGGTGCCTTTTTCCATGTTAAATATGTTGAATCAATAAGTGCACAGAGGTAGAGAGGTAAGAAAGGCCCTAGAATCCTTACTTTTTGAAACTAAAAGTAGAGGATTACGTGTAAGGTAGAATTGATGCAACTTGGTGAGTAATTTGCTTTCTGGGGGTATAGGGTAGAAGGAGAATTTGTTTCCAATTTAAGTTGTAGAATGATGGATTTTTACCAGTTAGTTTCTTAGGAATAAAGTCTCCTTTTCTCCTCACTTATTTTTTTTTAAATGTTGATTGCTGAAATTTCCCCCATTGATCCCTTTAACTTGCACCTGTCCCCCATCTCAGGCCTTCCCCACAGTATTGTCTATGACCATGGGTGATGCATATATACATATAAATTCTTTGATTAATTTCTTCCCACCTACCCACCCACCCCCACCTTCCCTCTGAGATTCAACAGTCTGTTCCATGCTTCTATTTCTCTGGATCTATTTTGTTCATCAGTTTATTTTGTTCTTTAGATTCCACATATAAGTGAGATCATGTGATACTTATCTTTTTTCTGACTGGCATATTTCACTTAGCATAGTACTCTCCAGGTCTGTCCATGCTGTTTCAAGGGTAAGAGGTCCTTTTTTTACTGCTGCATAATATTTCATGGTATAAATGTATCACAGCTCTTTTTATCCACTCATCTACTGATGGGCACTTGGACTGTTTCCAGATCTTAGCTATCGTAAATTGCACTGCTTTGAACATAGGGGTGCATCTGTTCTTTCTGATTGGTCATTCAGGCTTATTAAGAATATATTCCTAGAAGTTGAATCATTGGGTCAAATGGCAGTTCCATATTTAATTTTTGAGGAAACTCCATACTGTTTCCCATAGTGGCTGAACTAGTCTGCATTCTGACCAGCAGTGTACTAGTATTTACTTTTCTCCACATCCTGGCTTGCACTTGTCAACTGTTAATTTGTTGATAGTAGCCATTCTGACAAGTGTAAGGTGATATCTCATTGTCATTTAATTTGCATTTCTCTGATGATTAGCAACTTTGAGCAAATTTTCATATGTATCTTGGCCATTTGTATGTCCACTTTGAGGAAGTGTCTAAGTCCTTCGAAGAGCTTATTAGTTTGAATACATTCCTGGCTGATACATTAAATCATTGCATTTCTAATATAAAACAAAATTACTGTTTTAGGAACAAAGAGAGTCACTGAAAAATGGATTGTTGCTACCTAAACTTTATATTTGAAATAATTTTCCTATGAGAGCACCTTTCTGTTTTTATGGGAGAGTCCCTCCAAAGAATAATTTATAGTTTTGAGTTTATTGCATTTTAATTTTGTATTTCCAATAAATTTAATTCAAAAGTATGCTAATTTAGTGAATTAAAAACTTACTAACTTTTGTTAATACTAAAAACAGCACACAGTTGTAAATTAAATTGAGTAATTTTATTTGTGGAGACAGTGAGTAAAATGTTTATATTTTGCCCCCCACTATTTTTTTTTCAGTGCACTTATGATAATGTGTTTTAGAAATACATGTTAAACTTCAGTTTGAATGAAAAATGTCTCTCAGCCCACCTATATTACTTAAAGAAAGGGAAGAAAATAATTCAAGATTTGTTGAAAAAAAACCACAAACTACTTCCATAGATGCGGAAGATCCTCTTCAAAACTTATGCTTAGCATCGCAAGAAGTTCTTCAAAAAGCTCAGCAAAATGGAAGATCAAAATGTCTTAAATGTGGTGGTTCAAGAATGTTCTACTGCTATACATGTTATGTCCCAGTTGAAAATGTACCTGTGGAGCAGTTGCCACTTGTGAAGGTTGGTAAGAAATTTAATTTTTGAAAATAGGAACATAGATTTTAAAAAGACAACTCATATTTTCCTGTTCTAATGTAATTGATACACTTGATAAATGGCATCATTAGGAAAATGAATTATATAAATAGTAATTTAATCCTATAGACTCGAAACCTATTTGTTTTTCTTGTCTGTGGAAAAACAGATCCAGGTTTCCAAAACATTAAGGTCTGAGATGGTGTTATTTTATTTATTTATTTATTTACTTATTTTTAAAATATATTTTATTGAGTTTTTACAGAGAGGAAGAGAGAAGGATAGAGAGTTAGAAACATTGATGAGAGAGAGAATCATCGATCAGCTGCCTCTTGCACACCTCCTACTGGGGATGTGCCTGCAACCAAGGTACATGCCCTTGACCAGAATCGAACCTGGGACCTTTCAGTCTGCAGGCCGATGCTCTATCCACTGAGCCAAACCGGTTTCGGCGAGATGGTGTTATTTTTAATGAAATCAATTGTTTTTTAAACGGATGATTATAATTAATTTACAACATAGAAAAAATGTAGTATAAACATGAATACTACAAGAGACAAGTTTATAGACTGCCTGAAGGAGCTTCAAAAACTGGCTCAGGTCCTTGGACTGCTCTGAGAAAACTAGGTAGGGTTCATTTTTGTTTACGCTTTTGTAGAATGGGGTTAGCTCCGTCCTATACATGAATATGGAGCACCTGCCAGTGATTAAAACAAAACTAAAATTGAAAAGACTTAAGACCTACTCATTGGGCTATGTTATAATTTATAGTAATTTAAAGCCAGATTTTTAAAACATATGTGAATTGATTGCTTAGCTTATACTTTTGTTGCTTTCCAAGACTACTATTATATAAAGTATAAAAATCTGTAAACCGTCATGTCCACGTAATCAAAGAATTTATTACTACACTAGAGGCCTGGTGCAGCAGTGGGGTCCCTTGGCCTGGCCTGCAGGGATTGGGCCGAAACCAGCTCTCCGACATCCCCCAAGGGGTCCCGGATTTCAAGAGGACGGTTCTCAGTGACACACCTGGAATTTGACTCCCACCTCTCTGGTTCCTGGTGCATCACCTAAGAACTGCAGCTGCCAAATCACCGCAGCTCAGCAGTTCCCGTGTTGAGTGTCTGCCCCTTGGTGGTCATTGTGCATCATAACTGCTAGTCGGATGGTCAGACAGTCAAACGGTTGAAGAGTTTCTCTAAAATATATATATTTTAGAGGCCCAATGCAGGAAATTCATGCAAGATTAGGCCTTGCAGCCCTGGCTGCCTTACAGCCCCGTGATCCTGCTATCTGCCCACTGGTCATTCCAGAAGGTCATTCCACCATCTGGTCTAATTAGCATATTAACTTCTTTATTATATAGGACTAGAGGCCTGTTTAACAAAAGTTTGTGCAGGAGTAGCCCTTCCTTCCCTGGCTGCTGGTACCAGCTTCTCTCTGGCACCTGGGATCCAGGCTTCCCTCTGGCTGTCGGCAAGCACCCTTACCTCTGGGCTGCCACTGGCAGGCACCCAGAACCGGGCTTCCGGTCTAATTAGCATATTACCCTTTTATTATTATACTAGAGGCCTAGTGCACGAAATTCGTGCATGGAGGGGGTGTGTCCCTCAGCCCAGTCTGAACCCTCTCCAATCTGGGACATCTCACAATGCAGGACTGCTGGCTCCCAACTGCTCGCCTGTGTGCCTTCCTGATTGACCCTAACTGCTTCTGCCTGCCAGCCCGATCACCCCCTAACCACTCCCACGCGAGCCTGATTGATATCTAATTGTTCCCCTGCCAGCCTGTTTGTCCCCAACTTCCCTCCTCTGCAGACCTGGTCACCCCTAAGTGCCCTCCCCTGCAAGGTTGATCACCTCCAACTGCCCTCCTCTGCTGGCCATCTTGTGGTACCATCTGTGTCCACTTGGGGGTAGGATCTTTGACCACATGGGGGCATCCACATTGTGTGTTGGAGTGATGGTCAATCTGCATATTACTCTTTTATTAGATAGGATAGAGGCCTAGTGCATGGGTGGGAGCCGGCTGGTTTGCTCTGAAGGGTGTCCCGGATCAGGGTGGGGGTTCCCTTGGGGTGTGGGAAGCCTGGGCAAGGGGTCTGTGATGGTTTGCAGGCCAGCCACACCCCTTGGTGACCAAAGTGGAGGCCCTGGTATCTGGAATTTATTTATCTTCTACAATTGAAACTTTGTAGCTTGGAGCAGAGCCACGCCTTCTGCTTGCTCTGTGGCTGCCATTATTTCTGTTTGGGTTTGTTTACCTTATATAATTGAAACTTTATAGTCTTCAGTGTAGGCTTAGGCCTGCAAGAGCAGGTGGAAAGCTTGGCTTCCTCCATTGCCTGGGAAACTCAAGCCTCCCTTCTGCTCTCTGTGCCTGTAGCCATCTTGGTTGGGTTTATTTACATACTTGCTCTGATTGGCTGGTGAGCATGGCTGGTGGGTGTAGCAGAGTGATGGTTAATTTGCATATCATTCTTTTATTAGTTAGGATGCTGCCAGTGCCAGCCCTGCTCTCACCCACTGATGGTGCAGAGCGATTGAGACCAGTGCTTGCAGAAGGTGGAGAGGGGCTGGCACCATCAGAGGGTATGAGTGGCAATGGCTGCCCTGATCACCCCTCAGGAGCAGGGGAAGGTGGTTTGTTCACTTGTCTTTTTTTTTTTTCTTTCTTTAATTTTAGCTTCCACTGAAGATTGACATCATTAAACATCCAAATGAAACAGATGGCAAAAGTACTGCTATACATGCGAAACTCTTAGCACCTGAATTTGTAAATATTTACACATACCCTTGTATTCCAGAATATGAAGAAGAGGACCATGAAGTAGGTAGCTTATTTCTTACAACTGTTCACATTGAAGCAAAAATGAACTTTAAATTCCAATGTCTTTCAGAATTTACTTGAACACAATTTAATACTTTTCTTAATGGTCTAGCTCTAAACAACATACACTTTACTTCACTGGTGTCTGAAGAAATCAGAAGATCCTAGATTTGTTGGGCTTTTTTGAGTTTCTCCACTTCATCACTTTTTCTGAATTGTTTCTTTAAGTTTTTACACTTTGCCAATATTATTATGCCTACTTTTACTTTCTCGCCACTTCATTGTCCTGCCCATACATACGACTCATAGGTGGTCTAATTTGATGCAGACTGATAAACCAGATTACAAACATTATTGGAATTTATCCAAAAGAAGAAAAGAAAGACTGGATGAAAAAAATTTTCAGAATTCTCCCTAAATTTAGAGCTTTAGTATATGACTTTTGTAACATTTCGTTAGCTCAGAGGCCTTCCTTGCTCACTTCTAGATTCTTAATTGGTTTTCACATAGTTGGAATTTCACATTGGTGAAAAGTAATTTTGTAATAGATCTCAAAAAGAGGTAGACATTGGGTACTTTTTAAAGAAATTTGTAACCCTTTTTAGGTATATTGGGGATCATTTATTGGTGGTGTTAATCAGAAACAAAATTAAAAATTAATACATATACTCAGTTGTTCTCAAAAGAACCTTGGTTTTTCCTTTTCCATAAGTATGTTTTTTATTGAGTTTATATAGAAAATTGTGTTTGTAAATAATACCTGAATTTTGGATCTAGGGATATATTTGCATTTCCTTCTCTAGTCAACTAGGTATAATTTATGTTAATTAAATATAACACAGTGCTAGATTCAATAAAGTGATGTGATATCTTACAACCCAAGAAAATCTAAAACCCTTAGATTTTGCTAATTGAGTACATGGGGAATATTGTCACGGATTGTAGATGTTTAAGCAATTTGTAAGTTTAAAGTTTAAAAATGCAAGATTTTTTGTTTCTTTTATTTTTATAATGCTTATTTTTAATATTAAAAAATGATCTTGTTAAAGAAAATTTGGTAAATACAGAAAACTATGGGGGATAAAATACTCATAATTCTACCAACATCTATTCATTTCACAAATACACTTCACAAAAAAACAAACAAAAAAAATTGGATGCCTGCTTTATGATAGTAGCCATTCAGATATTAAAGGCTCTAGGAGTATATAAACTCTCAGTAAAATGCTAAAAGAAAAGAAGTATTGTAATTTATAGAATTTTTCCTTTAAAGTTACATTTTTCAGTTTTAATTTTTCACTGTAATAGGTATATTTTTAATAAATATTATGGGTGTGGTGGGTATATGGGTATTTAGGATTATTTTATTAAATGCCCATAAGTGAAATTATTTGATGAAAGAGTGTGAACATTTCAAGACTCTTTAATTTGTCAAATTTCTTACCAGTATTGACTGTGTATCATTTGTTTTGTCTATTATATAGGTAAAAATTGTATTTAATTATTGAGCACTTTTCAGTGGCTCTTTTACAGAATATTATAAAATTTAGTTTTCTCTTTCAAGGTATAATTAACTAGGCTTCTATCCACAGATGAATAACTTATTTTGAAATAAAACTTTTGGGTAGTATATAATGATTATAAATTACTTGGGAAGAGTCAAAAACTTTACCACATGTATTAAAGAAATGAATGTAGTAGAAACTAATGCTTGTTTCTTAGATATTCACATTTTTTCTCTTAAAGTTTTAAGTCAGAATTTATTCATTCTGATCATAATTACACACTATTAAATTAAGTTTCTTTGCTTTAGGTTGCACTCATTTTTCCGGGACCTAAGTCTGTCTCAATAAAAGATATTTCTTTTCATCTGCAAAAAAGGATTCAAAATAATGTGAGAGGCAAAAATGATGACCCTGACAAGCCATCTAGTAAACGCAAGAAAACTGAAGAACCGGATTTGAATGACAGCAAGTGCAAAGAGACAACACTGAAAAAAATTATATTTATAGATAGCACCTGGAACCAAACAAACAAAATATTCACTGATGAGAGACTTCAGGGTAAGAGAAAAAAAAATGTTTTTTTTATTGCTTTTCCCCCCAACTTTCATTTCAGAAAACTTCATGTCTCTTGATACATTAGAAGAATTGCATTAACTACCCATTCATTCTTTTACCACATTTGCTTTATTTCTCTTTTCTGTGTTTTGTTTGTAATATACTTAGATCTCCCGATACATTAGAAGAATTGCATTAACTACCCATTCATTCTTTTACCACATTTGCTTTATTTCTCTTTTCTGTGTTTTGTTTGTAATATACTTAGATATGTATTTTTGGTTGAACCTTTTGAAAAGAATGATGTAGGCTTTACAACACTCCACCTTTAAATACCTGTATACATCTTTTAAGAATAATTGCATGATCATAATACCATTATCACTTTAAGAAAATTAACAAAACTTATATATATAATCATTATGGATTTTAATGTGTGTGTGTGTGTGTGTGTGTGTGTGTGTGTGTGTGTGTGTGTGTGTGTGTATATAATGCCCAAATTATCTCAGATTTTGTCAGTGGGAGCCCTTCTTTGGGGGCATGGCTCATTAGTCTTTGTGGTTCAGCACTTTTTCCTTCCTCAGAACTAGAATTAATCATTCAAAGTTTACTTGCACTTTTCTCCTGCTCTAGGCCAATAATCAGTCATTCAAAGGAACTGTGGTTTTTTTTTTAATTTGGGAATGATATTAAAAACCAAGATATGGTAAATTTGTTACTGTTTGTTGCTTCAAAGGACAGAGCCAAGAAAAATAAATGTGTGTGTGTGTGTGTGTGTGTGTGTGTGTGTGTGTGTGTGTGTGTGTGTGGGGGAGGGGAGAGAGAGAGAAAAAGGGGGGGAGGAAGAGAGAGATGAAGAGCGAGAGGAGAGAGAGAGAGAGATTGATTGAGTTTATATGGGTAGTTCCAATGCAGCTTTAATGTTACAGTGGTTTTATTTCTTGTTTTATGTCTTTTTCTCTTGGAATGAAAAGATTAGTTCCTAATAATAATAGTTTAAAAGAGTTGCTTTATTTCCCCAAGAACAATAACCAGTAATATGAAGAACAGGAGCTCCTATGAAGTTTCATGTTCTGTTGCACCTACTCAGTTTTTCAGGCTTTCTCAGTTTTTCTAAAAGCTTTAGTTTTATTTCCAGCTTCTTGATGACTTTATTTGTGTACCATGTGTGATTATAAGGCAAGAGAGCTAGCTACCTAGTTGGTATTAGACATTTGGAAAAACAGTTTCAACCTGGGAGAGCTTCTCCCAGGCTGTTGTCAGAAGTGTACATCATTTAGAAAAGAAGGTTTATAACACTTTTCAGGGTCTGCCTTGTGTTAATTAGTACCAAGCTAAAGTGAGTGACATTAGTAAAGATAATTAGCTTAATTTATATGGTTGCTGATGTTTAAAGAGAAATGGAACCCTAAAACCCTGCTCTTTGAATACTGCGTGCCACATTATCTTGGATGGTTACAACAGCAAATTATGCCCCAGTTTGAAGATTTTTTTTCTGAGCTATTTTTTCTTTATATGGTTATTGAAATGATCCAATGAAAGAACGTAAGTGAAAACACTTGAAAAAAAACTATATAAGGAATTTCTGAGGTACAATTCAAAATCTGTTTTCAGAGAGTCCACATTTGTGCTTAAGGCTTAAAATCAGATTTATACAGAATAATTTCTCTTCCTTCCCACATCATATAGAAAGTATCGTCCATTTTAATTCTGTGCTACATTAAATTTTTAAAAAGTATTTCTCAATTCCTTAGAATCTTTAAATAAATAGATTCCTAGAGTCAGTCTTCTCTGGCTCCACATTTCACCTCAGGGAAACGCGGGCTGTTTGCACATTTATAGTCTCTGTTCTTGTGAAATACCACTTTCCAGATAAGCCCAGTCACTTACACAAGAAACAACCATGTTTGTTATAAATCATTGCCTTTAGGCTTGGAAACATTTATCATTACATGGGATTAATGTGAACAACTCTAAACCTCACTTTAAACCCTCAGAAGTAGTGTATTAAAAAAATAATGTTTCTGTTATCTTACTATGAGTGCTGAGGTTAAGAATCCCCTTAATTATGTAAAAACATATTTTGTCAGACTTTACAGAGGAAAGCTCCGGGTGTTTTACTACTATCAAAATAAAACATTTAAAGGTTGAATGTCTAATTTAATCATATAGTGTAAACTACACGTGAACTGACACACATTCTTGAAGATTCACCATGGGAAGCTTTTGGGGGATGTGGGGGGAAGGATAGTTTTCTTTTTGTTGGGGAGGGAGTCTGAATGATTCCCTCCCCAACAAATTACAGTAGGAAATTATACTGTAATTTGTTTTAAAAATTGCCAGCTCTCTCCCTTCATTTTGACAGATTTGTTCATGTTATAAACATTTCCTGAACTATACTTAGTGTGTTAATGAATGCTCATCATATACTACCTCATTTAGTCCTCACAACAATATGGTTTTCATTCCCATTTTTTAGTTGAAGAAATTCAGACAATAATTTTAGAGGGAAAGCCATCTATAGTTACCTGCTTTCAAGTTTAACTGCTAAAATAATTTGTGTATTTATCTTAAAGTTATTGATTGCCAGAACTACTGGCAAGAAATTTTTTTTAAATGTATATATCAAACTTTTAAAAAGAAATATAAATTTTCTAAGTAATATAATGTCTGTGTATTTCAGTATAGTTAAAAAGGTTCTATATGACTATATATTTCCAAGAAAATCTTTAGAACAGGATAGATTAGTAGTGTTAGTCACTAAATCTTGGCTTTTATATTTAACATTTTAGAACATATTAAATGTATTATAGAAACTAGCATTATTATAATAGCTGCTCTTTGTTTATAAATTACATTGATGATGTCAAAATCCTATGTTAATATTTTTTCTTTTAATTTTATTTTTCAATTACAGTTTACATTCAATTATTTTGTATAAGTTTCAGGTGTACAGCATAGTGGTTAGACAATCATATGCTTTACAAAGTGGTCCCCGCCTAAATTAAGATTTTAATTGTACTAATTGCTTAGAACATTTTCAATACTTCTAGAAGTATTAAAGACCATAACCTGCCTATTTCCCTCCTCGTGAGATTCAGAATGATGTTTTAAATGTCAATTTATTAAGGAAATGAAACCCTTCTGAAAACTGGCAAATTTAGTCCTGTCACAACTTTAAATTAAAAAGACAGTGGTAGATAGCAGATAGAAAGAGATGAATATTGCTGTGGCCGGTTTTTCTCAATGGTTTGAGTGTCAGCCTGAGAACTGAAGGGCTGTGAGTTCAATTCCTAGTCAAAGGCACATATCTTAGTTGCAGGTTCAATCCAGACATGGGTTGGGACTGGAACAGGAGGCAACCAATCAAAGTGTCTTTCTCATGGAGATATTTCTCCCTCTCCCCTTTCCCTCCTCCCTGTAAAAATCAACAGGGAAAAATATCCTCACTCCTGAGATAAAGATTAAGAGAGACGGGGGGGGGGGGGGGGGGGGGGGGGGAGGGAGGGAGGGAGGGAGAGAGAGAGAGAGAGAGAAGGAGAGAAAGAGATATGAATCTCTTAAATATTAACACTTTCACCCATTGCTGCTGGGTCCAAGACTTATAGGTATAAGATTTCAATTTGTGTTTTATATTGCTTCTGTTATATACATTAATGCATTTAAGAAAATATTTTATTTATTTTTTTTTAATCCTCACTCATTGATTTTTAGAGAAAGTGGCAGGGAGGGGGAGAGACAGAGAGAAAGATCAATGTGAAAAAGACACATCAATTGGTTGCCTTGCACACAAGCCTGCACCAGGGCTGGGGATCCAGCCTGCACTGCAACAAGGATATGTGTTCTTGACTGGAATTGAACCTGGAACCCTTCAGTCCATGGGCTAGTGCTCTATCCACTGAGCTAAACTGGTTAGGGCCAAAAATATCTTATTTTAAAGTGGGATCAAGGGGATTTATCTGTGCTCTTCAAAAAAAAATTTCTTAAGAGAATTCATCAGTTAATTGTATCACATCCTGTAGTTAGGAAATATTTAGTCCTGGGTGGGTGGTTCGGTTAGTTGAAATATTGTCCTGTACACCAAAAAGGTTGCAGATTCGATTCCAGGTCAGGACACATACCTAGGTTGCGGGTTCAATCCCTGGTCATTGTGCATATGTGAGGCAACCGATCAATGTTTCTCTTTCTCTTTCTTTCTCTCTCTCTGTCCCTCTCTTCCTCCCTCTCTGTCTAGGATCAATAAACATATCCTTGGGTGAGAATAAAAATGTATATATATTTATACTTTTCTTGTTTTTGGCAGGGTTATTACAAGTTGAGTTGAAAACAAGAAAAACTTGCTTTTGGCGCCATCAAAAAGGAAAGCCAGATACCTTCCTTTCCACAATTGAAGCCATCTACTATTTCCTGGTAGACTACCATACTGATATATTAAAAGAGACATACAAAGGACAATATGACAATCTTCTATTTTTCTACTCTTTTATGTACCAGTTGATAAAGAATGCCAAATGCTCTGGAGACAAGGAAACAAGAAAAATTACTCATTAGTCTCTAAGAAGCCACTTTTGTGATTTTATTTTGCTAAAAATCAATAAACTTGTAATTGTGTTTTGTTTATTCTTAGGGAATATTCATGTGTCATGTCTGCTAGACCACTTTAAACTATGAGGCTTTATTTATTTTACCTCAATTTTTTTTAAGGATGTTATTTAAGGAAATTTTCAGAGAGAGTGTTGACTGAAAAATTAGCTTCAGAAGTTATTAGCAGAAGTTTGGCATATCTCAATCTTACTACTACATTTTACTATAGTGTGTTATATTTATATCTATTTAATTAGATATATTTAGATACTTGTTTAAATATCCTTGTATCTTTCCACTTATTTTCACTACCATATTTGGAGGTAAATGGGATCAAAATCTCCTTGCTGGCAGTGAAGTGATAGGTAATTTGGGATCAGAATCTCCTTGCTGGCAGTGAAGTGATAGGTAATTAGTTTGAAGTTAATGGCAAACATAGGCAGAACTAGAATTGTAGTTCCAGTCCCTAGAATAATTTCACGTCCACACTGCCTATGATGGACAATTGTTGCTTTGTACATCTGTCTGGCATCTTTTTAAGGGAGAAATTCCTAGCAGCCATGGGTTCCTGTCAGAGTGGACACATGGCTCAGGTGGTTGATTCAGTGATGAGCACATGGCTCAGCATCCTTTTTGATAAATGGTGTGGCTGCTGTAGAAGATAGGGCTTACTTTCCAAAAACCAGTAGGTGCAGTGGTTAAAAGCGCAGACTCTAGAGCTAGACTATCTGAATCTAAATTTCAGCTTTCCTTTTCCCCTTACCAGTCATATGTCAGTTTCTTCATCTCTAAAGATAAGGTGATACAATAGCTACCTTATAGGATACTTATGAGAATTAGTTGGTGTATCTAAATGGCTTTCAAAAGCACCTGGCCTACAGTAAGTGCTGTATATATTTTATTTGGAGTTGTAAACTAAATGAGATAACCTTAGAGGAGCTGCTGGCATCTGTGCTGCAGGTGGCAAGAGCCTGCCTTCGAATGAAGCTAGCGAATGAAGCTAGCGAAGGAAGGCAGAGTGGAGAGAGAGACTGAGTCCTGAGGACATCAGTTAGTCACCTAATCTACCTTCTTGTGAACGGAGCCCTCTGCTGGATAGCTTCTGCCAGCCCCTCTGGGGCCACCCCCCACTCTTCCATTCTTCTCTCAGTTCTGTTAGGTAGGTTCCCTTACCCTCTGGATTTTGGTTGGTTTCAACAAATGAGAAGCACCAACAAGAGACTGGAAGTTGAAAAGGAAATGAAATTGTATGTATTTCTCCTGCCTCCTTTCCTGCCAGGGCACCATAGTTGTCCTCTTTTGAAGGCCATCCTTCAGATATTGCAGCTACTCTTTTGCATTTCAGCCCCTCCTTCCCCCCCTTGACCCATTTTCATTTAGGGATATAATACTTCCCAGGTATTATTAGCTCCAGGGTTTCCATAAACCCTGCCTATATCTTTGAAAATAGTCATTTAGCATATTCTTTTACTTAAATGTCCCCGTTTTAAGTTGCCCTCTGTTTCTTTCTGGGACCCTGACTGATAAATTTGCCCATTTGGATGCTAGAAATAATAGTACATTTCCCAAAAGTATATTCAGGGGGACACATGTTTCATGAAAATACTAGTTAATGGTGAAATGAGTTTGCTGCACATTATAGTCCCCTCTTAGAGATTCAAAGGGCACAGCATAAAGATGCTAAAAAGTTCTGAAATAAACATTTAGAACTCTATTTAGGTTAGTATTTCTTAAACTTGATTGAATAAAGACTACTGACACCCTGCAAAAATAGGACATTTGGAATATTGTAATATATAGCAATCCCTGATTTTGTATACACGTGGAAACAGAGGCCCAAAGAGATTAACTAACTTGTTCACAAAACTAGTTAGTGATAGAACTTGATCTAGAATCTGGGACTTCTGATTGGTTCCATGAGGTCACCATTATAATATTAGTGGCCCCATGCATGGATTCATGAACATTGAAAGGAATTAATTAGAAGAATGATTTGTGTGGTAATCATTATTGCAAAAAATTACATGTCAAAATAGTGTGTGTGTGTATATCTATATCTATCTATCTATCTATCTATCTATCTATCTATCTATATATATATATATATATAATATAGTATTATCAAGTTTAAATACAAAATTAAATTGCCAGTGCGTGTCATATGTATCAGCTGGTTGGTTGTGTGCCAGCAAGAGCTTTATATGTATCGCATATGCAAGAGTCATTCAACACCCAGATATGTGAATGATCCTAGCCAAGATCAGTGTAACCCTCTAACTGACATCTACCCATTGCAGATGTGTGAGCAAGGGACATCTTGTTATGCTACTGAAGTTGTATAGCCATTCATTATACAGAATTATTGTGCCATTAAATATCGTTGCATACAGTATAAGATACATCCTGCTCAAGTACCTTCTCAGATTTTTGGATTTGCTGTTTGCTATGCCATCAACCACTTGCTTTGCCATAGCTACCACCCTACAAAGTGACACTACTGGCAGGTTATGTGATTCCTCTGCCTGCGGTCAACCAGCCACATGCTCAGAATCCCTGGCCCATCCCAATACTTGTGGACTATAGGATGCACCATGTCACAGGGTTTCCAGTGATTGTCAAAAGGACTAGATGATGCAAGCTGAATCAATGGTCTAGAAAAGGCTGTCAGATAAATCCCTATCCTTTTTTTTCTGATGGATGGTTGTAAGGCACAGTTTTTCACTCTTTTGTTTAGAGATACACCATGTTGCTAAGCAAGTGTACTTGCCAAATGATTGGCAGTATCTCTTCATGGCTTTTCATGAAACAAGTGCTACATAGTAAGTTACCAATGAGCATTTGCTTCTCATCCTTGTTAGCCTTCCTTTCTTCCTCCCTCCTTAGGGAAGCCAGGTGTTTAAGTCTGGATTTGGTGAGGAAAGTGGATTCATTACAAGTATTCGATGAACAAAGAGATTAATAAATAATCAGGGTTCACCCAAATATGGGAGTGGCTGGGGGAGTAACAACCCGGAGACTTTCCATAAGAGGTGAGAGAAACAGTCACTGACTAGTTCAGCCTGAGATGCCCATGGTGCCATGCCTATGACTTAGTTTACTGTTGTGTGTGTGTTTTGAGCATATTAAGCTTCTCATTTCCTTACTCTTTTTAGGTATACTTAGGTTCCGCTCCTTAATCCTTTCAGTGGTCTAAAAAATGACTCTATATGCTCTTGCTGGTGTGGCTCAGTTGGTTGAGCATCCTCCCATGAACTGAGATGTTACCAGTTTGATTCCCGGTAGAAGGAATCAAACGTGCCCAGGTTACAGGCTCGACCCCCCAGTAGGGGCTGTACAGGATGCCAATAAATGATTTTTTTCTCACTGACGTTTCTATATGTCTCTCTTTCCCTTCCACTCTCTATAAAAACAATCAATAAAAGCATATTTAAAAAAAAATGAATGCATCTCCGTACTTCTTTATTGGCTTTTTCTCTTGAGACCATGGTAGTAGCAGTACCCTGGCCTTGATTTTTGTTTTAAGGTTGTATTTAATGATAACACACTTGATTTGGTGACAAACGATTTCATTCTCCAGCCTTATACATCCTAGGATCTATATTCCCTTTCAATTCCATTTGCTCACCAACCACTTATTTTTGAGCTTGTCTCTTTCTTTTAGTAACTTATCAATTACAGCTAATAACAGCCGGCTTATTCTTTCAAAATTTTATTTTCAAAATCTCACAGAATGTCATGAATGCATTAGCTGCATTTTCTGTCTTTGTGTCACTACAGGCAATAATTTTACTAAATTGTTGCCTCCAAATACAATGAAAGGATCCCAAGAAAAGAGAGGGGCCCATTAACAAGGGGGAGGAAAATTCAAAAGGAAACACACAAGCAGAGAACAAAGAAAAAAAACACTAAAAGTAGTATATTGTAGCTACAAAAAAAGGAATGGGATATGAAAAAGAACATGCAATAAAAAAGAGATTTGGGAATTAACAATGTGATTGCTGAAATAAAAATTCAATGTTTTGTTGGAAGACAAAATGTAACAGAAGAATAGATCATTTTAAATTCCAAATAAAGTTCAACCTTAGTTCAGAGTTGCAATTGAAACCATGGGCTGTGTGTTCCATTGTAGGTAATATACATCCTAGAGGAGAAAGACATTTACTGACAATACTGGTTGTACTCACCATTACCCTTTTTTTTATTAAGGGGAATGTTGGAGATTATTTGTATTTCAGTTACCATAAATTCACAAAAAATAATAGTAAAAGAGCATTGGTTAAATGGAATGAAAGTCTATTCAAGCACTATATATTAATCTGTGCATCTATTGCACGTTACCATTATGAAACTGAGTTTCTAGCTGGACTGCTGAGACCAAAGCACCACTCTCCAAATTATGTTTAACAATGTTTCCATATTATCTCCTTGAAACTCTGCCAACGGCAATCTTATTTTATATGTTAGTTATTGTTGTAGTGTTTATTCATTACATATTTATTACAGAACATTGTGTTTGATGGAGAAAATTCAATCACCTGTGCTGTAATATTCACATCAACACTTGGCTGGTTAATTTACAATTGATGACTTCAGAATCTTAATTCAGTCATTCTGCCACTGTAACTGGAGTGAACAACTAGCTAGTCAAAAACAAGGCTTTGTTTTGGTTTTCTTTGTAAAGGTCATTCTAAACTCATAATGAAAAGTATTTTTCCACTTGAGGAACTATCTCAGAAAGATTTTCTCTAGTCTCAGAGAAAATTACTTACCATAGCTTAAAAAAAAAAAAAAAACCAAAAAACTACTTACCATAGAGGATGTTTTCACAGTGATATATTACTAAATGTTTGCTATTGTAACCTTTTTTATCCTCCAATTTATCAAGCAAATATTTCACAAGCACTCTAGGAAACTCTAGAAAAACATTTAATACTATAGCACATAATAAATTCTGATTTTAAAGCACT